TAAAGGCTTTGAAGAGTATTGTTCAAAGCATGAGATCAGACATGAGATGACAGAACCTAAAACATCGCAACATAATGGTATAGCTGAAAAAATGAATCATACCATTGTGAAAAATGTCAGATGTATGTTGAGGATGACAAAATTACCAAAGCCATTCTAGGGTAAAGCAGTTAACACGGCTTGTTATTTACTTAACAGATCATTATCAGTTCCTTTGGGCTTTGACATTCCAAAAAGAGTGTGGACAGAAAAATATACTTCATACTCTCACTTGAAAGTTTTTGGGTGTAAGCATTTATGCATGTGCCGAAAGAGCAGAGATCAAAGCTTGACAGTAAAGTCACACAGTGTGTGTTTGTAAGATATGATGATGAGAAATTTGGTTACAGGGTATGAGATCCAGTAAAGAAAAAGATAATCAGAAGTAAAGATGTGATCTTTCATGAAAAAAAAACCATAGCAGACTTTGAGAAAATGAGAAAACTACACGGGTTACTACTGAGTGTGATGTTTCAACACCGACAGAGATTCCACAGGAAAGAGCCATAGATGATGGAAATGAGTAAGAAACAGAACTTAAGAATATGAATGAGCCAGCCACAGTTGGTGATGTGCCAAATGCAATTAGTTTTGAGCAGGGAGAGCAATCATCTCTACCTGAAAGTGTTGAGCAGAGGGAGCTACCTTTGGCGTCAAGTGATGTAGAGTCTCAGCCCAGGAGATCTACTAGAGAGCGCAAGCCATCTATCAGGTATCCAAGTTCAGATTTTATTTTAGTTACCAGTGAAAGTGAGCCAGAAAACTTTTAAGATGTGCAAGCTACTCTGGATAGAGAGCACTGGTTAAAAGTAATGAAAGAAGAGATGGAGTTATTACGAAAAAATGGTACTTATGATCTTGTTAAACTTTCAACAGAGAAGAGGCCATTAAAATATAAATGGGTGTTCAAGTTGAAAAAGGATGGTGACAAACTAGTGAGGTACAAAGCTCGATTGATAGTAAAAGATTTTTCTTAAAAACCAGGTATCGATTTTGATGAAATTTTTGCTACAGTTGTAAAGATGAGTTCTATTCGAGTGGTACTGAGATTAGCAGCTAGTTTGAATCTTGAGCTTGAGCAACTTGATATTAAAATTGCATTTTTGCATGGTGATTTGTAGGAGGACATTTATATGAATCAGCCTGAGAGTTTTGAAGTGAAAGAGAAAGAACACTTAGTTTACAAATTGAAGAAAAGCTTGTACGACTTAAAACAAGCTCTGCGACAATGGTATAATAAGTTTGATTCTTTTATGGTGAGTACAGCAGTGGATTCTTGTGTGTATGTTAAACAATTTCCTAATAGTAACTTCATTATCCTATTATTATATGTTGATGATATGTTGATTGTAGGACAAGATGCTAGTATGATTTACAGGTTGAAAGAATAATTGTCTAAGTTTTTTTATATGAAGGATTTAGGTCCAGCAAAGCAGGTTCTTGGTATGAACATTATCCGAGATAAGAGAGCTAAAAAACTATGGTTGTCCGGGATATGAGAGCTAGAAAACTGTGATTATCATAAGAAAAGTATGTTGAACGAGTGCTTGGTAGATTCAACATGTAACATGCTAAATCAATTAGCAGTCCACTGGCCAACCATTTTCATATAAGTAAAAAATCTTGTCCAGTGTCAAAGAAGAGCAACTAGCTATGTCTAGTATTCCTTATTCTTTTGCAGTCAATTTTTTAATGTATCTTATGGTTTGTACAAGGTCTGACATTGCTCATGCAGTTGGTGTAGTGAGCAAATTTCTTTCTAATCCAAAAAAAGCTCACTGGAAAGCAGTGAAATAAATTTTTAGATATTTGAGGGGTACCTCAAAAATGTGCTTGACTTATGAAGTTTCACAACCAGTTCTAGAAAGGTTTACTGATGCTAACATGGCAGGCGATCTTGATGGTAAAAAATCTACTTCAGGGTATTTGTTTACTTTTGTAGGAAGAGCTGTATCTTGGTAATCTAAGTTATAGAAGTGTGTTGCTTTGTCAACTACAGAGGCTGAGTATATTACAACAATCGAAGCATGTAAAGAAATGCTTTGGATGAAATATTTTCTTCTTGAATTGAAGTTGAATTAGAAAAAGTATGTGGTATTTTATAATAGTCAAAGTGCTTTAGATTTGAGTAAGAATACCATGTACCAAGCTAAAACAAAGCACATTGATGTTAGATATCATTGGTTACGTTCAATGATTGAAGAATAGCAGATGCTATTGAAGAAAGTTCATACTGATAAGAATGTAGCAAATATGTTGACTAAGAGACTTCCTAAGAAAAAGCTTGAGCTTTGCAGTAACTTAACCGAAATGAGTTCCCTGGCCAAGGTAAGTTTCAAATAAAACTGCTATGGTGATGAATCTCCTCCTAATGGGGCTGAAGGGAGAGATTATTAGGAAAATGGGGTCCAGCCTCATGTAAGTGGTTTTGGACCAAGTAAAGGCCATGGGCCTTGATCTTTCATTTTACATAAAGCCCTAACTACTTAATAAAAAAGAGGTTAGGTTATTTTAAATGGGTGTCGAAAACCAAGTAGAGAAAGAAGAAAAGCTAAAAAAAACAGAGAGAAAAAAAAGAAGGGAGAGTTGGTTGAACAGAAGTTGATCCGTGGTCCGATTGAGTTGGAACCTTGTCAAGAGGTTTATGATTCAGAGTTTTACATTCTGAACAGTGAAGATCGGATTTGAAGCTCTCTAGGAATAAATTCAGAGTGTATTTGTTGAGTCACTTATTTGGTGAGATTTCTTCAATTGTTTCTCTAGTTGTTGTTTAGCTCTAGTTTTAGCTAGAGAAGAACTTTGTATACCTATTATTTGATAGTGAAGATTTTTCTGGTGGTCCGTAATTTTTTTCCTCTACACTAGAGGGTTTTCTACGTAAATCTTAATGTGCTTTATTTTTTTGTGTTTTTTATTATTGATTGTTTTCTATTGCTTCTGTATTATTGTGATTATTGCTTCAGACGCAATAATTTTCATGGCTTTTTGTTGGAGAAAAAACCAACAATTAAATGATTGTTGTGTATAGAGTTTTGTTTTCTCTTCTCTATAGTTAGGGAGTTAAAGGGCTTAAGGTTCTTGGCAATGGCATTTGGCTGTGAAAAATGATCGAGTTTGGTTTTGGATTGTTAACATTGTCCTTCATCGTTATTTTGGTATGTAAAATTTATAATAATGTATTGGTGTCTCCAAATTTGTCTTGTTTAGGGTTAACAATGGATCGAATCAAGTCGAATTTTTGTTCGCTCCAAACTTGATCAGAATTTATAATTATAAAATTCGAATTCGATTCGATTTGAAAAATTTTTTATTTATTTATATTCGAACCCGATTCAACTCGATGTTGTATAAACCGTACTCAATTCGATTTGATTCGAAATTATAAAATATTATTTTTAAATATAAAATATATTTTTTAAATATAAATATATAAATATATAATTAATTAATTAAAAATAATTTTTATATAATATCGGATCGGATCAAATTTATCTAAAATTTGAATCTGATCCGATCTTTATTTTTTTAATAATAATATCTAATTCGATCTGAAATCTGATTTTAAAAAATATATATTAACTTTATGCGATCGGATTGAGTCGGAACCATCGAAAGCAAATTGGGCTGCCAACCCTAATCTTGTTCTTACTTCCGATGGAAATTGCATAATAAATTCGAAATTAAATGTCTTTTTTCTTAGATAAATGTTAAGAAAATTTGAGTCTTTGACTAAGAAAATCTATTAAATCTTATAGAAACATACACATTTCACCTACAAAAGGGTTAGTTCAATGATGGTGAAAGAAAAAAAAAATTTTTATTCAGGTTCGATTTGTGTGGAACATTCGAGACCAAAATTATGAATGTAAGAGGCCATCAAGGGAATGTGTATTGTTAAAATTTTTTAGTGAAAAAAATTATATCCAAATAAAGTTTAAAAATACTCTATTCATATTTTAAAAAAATATTTTTTTGATAAATTATGCATAATCCTTAAATTCATAATGAATCACTTCAATGACGGATTCACATGTATAAATAAAATATTTATGGACATTCAAAAATTAAAAAAAATTAAATATTTTTTAGCAATAAAATTAATAAATTTATTGATAGTTTTATATATATTATAATAAATTAACATAAAACACTTAAAGATCCATCTTAAATATTATGTTTAAATAACACAATAATATTATATTATTATTAAAATAATATAATATTAGTTATTATTGAAATATTAAAAATATTTTATTTAAATAATATATAAAATTAAAATATTAAAAACTTTTAATGTTAATATTTTAATTTTTTTATTAAAACTAAATAAAATATATTTTAATATAATAATATTTTAAATGAAACAAATCAAGATCCATCTTAAATATTATGTTTAAAGAGTAAATTTATAAAAATATTTAAAATTAAAATATTAAAATATTTTTAATATTAATATTTTAAATTGTTAAATAAAATTAAATAAAAATTATTATTTATTAATATAATAATATTTTAGATCAAATTAAGTTTAAACTTAAAATAATTATATTCAAAATTTGACTTTATTAAAATTATACTCAAATATATTAATAAGTAATTTTATTCATAAACAGCTTTTTTTAAAATTATATTTTCCTACTCAGAATGATAAGATAATTTTATAAAAAAATATCTTAATTTTCATTGATGAATAAATCATTTTTTATTAATTAATCAAAATTTTGACAAATAAACATATAAAAATAAAAATATAATTTTCGATTTTTTTTTTAAACAGACGGAGTTTGTCTATTTCTTTACTATTATTGTCTCCATTGTAGGATGTACAGTTAAAGCATTTATTTTATTATAATACCACTACACCATAGTACTACTTGAAACCATTGGCTTTTTCCTTTTGTTTAGGCAATACCATCTCTGGTTTTTTCCCAACGCTTTCCTCTATATAAGAAACTCTCACCCGCTTACAAATTCGCTTCAACAAAGCAAAATACAGGCAGAAACTAGTCTTTGAATCCCAAAATATCCCATTTCCACTTTCATTTCCATCACCTCTCAAAAGCGTTGAAAAAAGAAAAATATGAGTTCTTCAACAAGAGCTTGGATGGCAGCTGCTAGCATTGGAGCTGTTGAGGCCTTAAAAGATCAAGGAATTTGTAGATGGAATTATGGTCTAAGGTCAATTCAACAGCATGTCAAGAACAATATCAGATCATCTTCTCAAGCTAAGAAAGTTTCTGTTCCATCTTCTTCTGCTTTGGCTAAGAAACTGAGGGAAGATGATAAGTTGAAGAAGTCAGAGGAAGCACTTAGAACTGTCATGTATTTGAGCTGTTGGGGTCCAAATTAAGCTACCCCTTCGTTTTTTGTACATATGTAATGCTAATTTTGCTTCAATTATATTACTTGAACTATCAAAAATATGTTCAAAAGTTGAGTTTGATATTAGAAAATTTTGGGGATAAATTTATATATGAACTTTTTGTCTCTGATGATCATGAATTAGAATCTTACACTGTGTTTGGTGATGGAAAAAAAGAAAGAAAGAGAAAACGAAAAGTACTATAATAAAAAAATAGCTATTCTTATCAGAAACATTCTAAATTAAATTGAATAAATTGAGGTGAAAATCACATGGAAGCTTTCTTTAGTCTTTAACCTCAGCCTCCAAAATCAAATGCTATGAATAAAGTAAAGGCAAATCACAAGTTTGTTGGCTTTGCAAAATAATAAATGGTTTTTAAGTCCAAAATAAAGGGGCGCTGTAAGTTTTCCAAAACGATTGGCAGACACCAACCAGCCAATAGATTTATACTCTTTCATGTTATATATTAAAAAATATATATATTTAGTCACAAACCCAATTATAAATGGGACCAGTCCCATTTCATCAGCACCATTATTAACTCATAAAAGAAAAAAAAAAGAAAAAGAAAAGAAAATCTCTTCCTTTGTTTGCCACAATCCTACTTTCAAAGATAAAAATATTTTCTTGATAAGATTCACAAGAAAACAATGAGTGCAACAAGGAAAGCATGGATTGTGGCAGCTACAATTTATGGAGTGGGGGCATTGAAGGATCAAGGAATTTGCTGATGGAATTATGTCTTCGGGCATGCCAAGAAAAATCTTAGGTCATTTACCGAGGCCAAGGTTCATTCCTTTCCATATCTGCCGGCCCTGGCGGCGGCTTCGGGTAAGATGAGGGAGGAGGTGAAGAAACCCAACAAGTTCATCAAAAAAGTGATGGAATTGAATTCCTGGGTCCTAGTATAGTTAGATTTTAATGTAATTTTCATGGCTTTTTGTTGGAGAAAAAACCAAACGATTAAATTGTCGGGAAATACTACAGTTCTGATATCATTTATTAGGTTAAAAATTTTTAATTCAATCATATCAGTAAAAATAAAATTAAATAATAAATCAAACACATAAAAAATAATAATTTAATGTGGTTCGATCCAATCAATTTACGTCCACGAATGAGAAACAAGATCCACTAGTTGTAGAGAATTACAAACATACATTAAATCATCAACTTCACTCAACAATCAATACTCATAAGACACTCTCAATCTCCTCTAATCCTATAGAGTATTCTTAACTCAAACAAACACAAATCCAAATCTTTGTGCACCCTTTCAACATATCCAAATACATATCAATATACTCTCATACATCATACCTATATGTACTCTCTCAGTCTCCTTTAATATACTCATAAATAAACATACACATTTATAATACGTAAAGCCACAATACTTTTATGGGGTGTCTATCCCACACAACCCTACAATTCTCTTATATTTTTTTCTCATACCTAACTCTGTAGAGACTTCACCTATTTATAACAATACAAACATACCCATTAAGAATCTTTTTCTTCTTATAATTTTTTTATTGTAAGTCAAACTCACCTATTAAGAATTTTTTTCTCTTATAATTCTTTTTTTGCAAGTCAAATTTATCTATTAAAAATCTCATTTCTCTTAAAATTTTTTTTTTGTAAGTCTTCTTGTTCATTAAGTAATATCAACAAATCTCAAACAAATCTCTAACAAATTTCAATATTCTAAACATAAATAATTGTTTGTGTATAGAGTTTTGTTTTCTCTTTTTTATAGTTAAGGAGTTAAAGGGCTTAAAGTCTTTGGAATGGCATGTGGCTTTAAAAAATGACTGAGTTTGGTTTTGGATTGTTAACATTGTCCTTCATCGTTATTTTGGTAAGTAAAATTTATAATAATGTATTGGTGTCTCCAAATTTGTCTTGTTTAGGGTTAACAATGGATTGGTTCGGGTCGAGTTTGTATTCGTTTTAAATTTGATCCGAATTTATAATTATAAAATTCGAATTCGATTCAATTCGAATTTTTTTTTTATTTTTTTATATTCGAATCTGATCTAACTCGATATTGTATAAATCATACTCGATCCGATTTAATTCGAAATTAATAAAATATTATTTTTTAAATATAATTATATAATTATATAAATATATATAATTATTAAAAAATAATTTTTATATAATATCAGATCGAATTTACTTAAAACTCGAATATGATCCAACCTCTATTTTTTTTAATAATAATATCTAATTTGATTTAAAATTTGATTTAAAAAAAATTAATTTTATGAGATCGGATTGGATCGAAATCCTACTGAAGCAAATTGAGCTGCCAACTCTAATCTTATTTTTACTTCCGATGGAAATTGCAAAATAAAATCGAAATTAAATGTCTTTTTTTCTTAGATAAATGTTAAGAAAATTTGAGTCTTTGACTAAGAAAATCTATTAAATCGTATAAAACATACACATTTCACCTAGAAAAGGTTAGTCCAATGATGGTGAAAGATTTTTTTTTTTTTATTCAGGGTTCGATTTGTGTGGAACATTCGAGACCAAAATTATGAATGTAAGAGGCCATCAAGGGAATGTGTATTGTTAAAATTTTTTAGTGAAAAAAATTATACTCAAATAAAGTTTAAAAATACTCTCTTCATATTTTTAAAAAACATTTTTTTGATAAATTATGCATAATCCTTAATTTCATAATGAATCACTTCAATGACGGATTCACATGTATAAATAAAATATTTATGGACATTCAAAATTAAAAAAAATTAAATATTTTTTTATCAATAAAATTAATAAATTTATTGAAATTTTATATATATTATAATAAATTAACAAAACACTGAAAGATCCATCTTAAATATTATGTTTAAATAACATAATAAATATTATATTAATTATTAAAATATATATAATATTAGTTATTATTGAATATTAAAAATTATTATTTTAAATAATTATATAAAATTAAAATATTAAAAAAACTTTTAATGTTAATATTTTAATTTTTTTATTAAAGATTAAAAATAAAATATATTTTAATATAATAATATTATTACAATGAATCAAATCAAAGATCCATCTTAAATATTATGTTTAAAGAGTAAATTTATACAAATATTTAATATTAATATTTTAAATTGTTAAATAAAATTAAATAAAAATTATTATTTATTTATTTAATAATATTTTAGATCAAGTTAAGTTTAAACTTAAAATAATTATATTCAAAATTTAACTTTATTAAAATTATACTCAAAAATATTAATAAGTAATTTTATTCATAAACAGTTTTTTTAAAATTATTTTTTCCTACTCAGAATGATAAGATAATTTCCAAAAGTATAAGATAATTTCATAAAAAATTATCATAATTTTCATTGATGAATAAATCATTTTTCATTAATTAATCAAATATTTGACAAATAAACATATAAAAATAAAAATATAATTTTCGATTTTTTTTTTTAAACAGACGGAGTTTGTCTATTTCTTTACTATTATTGTCTCCATTGTAGGATGTACAGTTAAAGCATTTATTTTATTATAATACCACTACCCCATAGTACTGCTTGAAACCATTGGCTTTTTCCTTTTGTTTAGGCAATACCATCTCTGGTTTTTTCCCAACGCTTTCCTCTATATAAGAAACTCTCACCCGCTCACAAATTCGCTTCAACAAAGCAAAATACAGCCAGAAACTAGTCTTTGAATTCCAAAATATCCCATTTCCACTTTCATTTCAATCACCTCCCAAAAGCGTAGAAAAAAGAGAAATATGAGTTCTTCAACAAGAGCTTGGATGGCAGCTGCTAGCATTGGAGCTGTTGAGGCCTTAAAAGATCAAGGAATTTGTAGATGGAATTATGGTCTAAGGTCAATTCAACAGCATGTCAAGAACAATATCAGATCATCTTCTCAAGCTAAGAAAGTTTCTGTTCCATCTTCTTCTGCTTTGGCTAAGAAACTGAGGGATGATGATAAGTTGAAGAAGTCAGAGGAAGCACTTAGAACTGTCATGTATTTGAGCTGTTGGGGTCCAAATTAAGCTACCCTTCGTTTTTGTACATATGTAATGCTAATTTTGCATCAATATACTTGAACTATCAAAAATATGTTCAAAAAGTTGAGTTTGATATTAGAAAATTTTGGGGTAAATTTTATATGAACTTGTCTCTGATGATCATGAATTAGAATCTTACACTTGTGTTTGTGATGGAAAAAAAAAGAAAGAGAAAACGAAATACTATAATAAAAAAATAGCTATTCTTATCAGAAACATTCTAAATTAAATTGATTAAATTGAGGTGAAAATCACATGGAAGCTTTCTTTACTCTTTAACCTCAGCCTCCAAAATCAAATGCAATGAACAAAGTAAAGGCAAATCACAAGTTTGTTGGCTTTGCAAAATAATAAATGGTTTTTAAGTCCAAAATAAAGCGCAGCTGTAACTTTTCCAAAACTATTGGCAGACACCAACTAGCCAATGGTTTTATACTCTTTCATGTTATATATTAAAAAATATATATATTTAGTCACAAACCCAATTATAAATGGGACCAGTCCCATTTCATCATCACATCATTAACTCATAAAAGAAAAAGGAAAAAAAAGAAAAGAAAATCTCTCTCTTCGTTTGCCACAATCCTACTTTCAAAGATAAAAATATTTTCTTGATCAAGATTTACAAGAAAACAATGAGTGCAACAAGGAAAGCATGGATTGTGGCAGCTACAATTTATGGAGTGGAGGCATTGAAGGACCAAGGAATTTGCAGATGGAATTATATCCTAAGGCATGCCAAGAAAAACCTTAGATCATTTACCGAGGCCAAGGTTCATTCCTCTCCATATCTGCCGGCCCTGGCGGAGGCTTCCGGTAAGATGAGGGAGGAGGTGAAGAAACCCGACAAGTCCATAAAAAAAGTGATGGAATTGAATTCCTGGGGTCCTAGTACAGTTAGATTTTAATGTAATTTTCATGGTTTTTTGTTGGAGAAAAAAACCAATGATTAAATGATTGTTTGTATATAGAGTTTTGTTTTCTCTTCTCTATAGTTAGGGAGTTAAGGACTTAAGGTACTTGGCAATGGTATGTGACTTTAAAAAATGATTGAGTTTGGTTTTGGATTGTAAACATTGTCCTTCATTGTTATTTTGGTATGTAAAATTTATAATAATGTATTGGTGTCTTCAAATTTGTCTTGTTCTTACTTCCAATGAAAATTACATAATAAATTCGAAATTAAATGTTTTTTTTCATAGATAAATGTTAAGAAAATTTGAGTCTTTGACTAAGAAAATCTATTAAATCTTATAGAAACATACACATTTCACCTACAAAAGGGTTAGTCCAGCTGATGGTGAAAGATTTTTTTTTTTTTTAATCAGGGCTCGATTTGTGTGGAACATTAGAGAGCAAAATTATAAATGTAAGAGGCCATCAAGGGAATATGTATTGTTAAAATTTCTTAGTGAAAAATTATACCCAAATAAAGCTTAAAAATATTTTATTGGTATTTTGAAAAAATATTTTTGATAAATTATGCATAATCCTTAATTTCTTAATGAATCAATTCAATGAGGGATTCGCATGTATAAATAAAATATTTATGGACATTCAAAAAAATTTTAAAAAAATATTTTTTAATCAATAAAATTAATAAATTTATTGATAATTATATATATATATTATAATAAATTAACATAAAACACTTAAATCCGCCACTAAATCAACCTAAACAAAAAAACAATGGTCATTTAAAACCGAAACCCAAAATCAGGGCAAAGATTAGCTAATTTCCTTAGCAAATTAAATTCAATAAAACAAAACAAAGGTCCCCCCGCTCTTCTTTGTTTGGTCTGAAAGGGAGTTGATTTCCTTGAGAAGCCAAGTTCAGTTGTGTAGATTTAGACTCTTGGTTACGTGTTTAAGCCATTAGTTTATACGTCCGTGTCGTAAAACCATTGAATCTCAAAAGCATCGAAACAAAAACCAAACAATTCCAGCCTAGTAGAAGTCTAGTAAACCCACCAAAGCACTTGGTTTTGTCTTCATTTCTTGCTTAAACCGCCTATGGTTTTCCACCTTTCCCCACCATTTAAAACCACCCAACATTACATTTCAACACCCAAAACTGAAAAAGAAGGAACCTGTAGGAAATATCATTACCCTTTGTGACAATGAGTGGAGTTACAGGGAAAGCATGGGTTGTGGCAGCTACAATTGGAGCGGTGGAGGCATTGAAAGACCAAGGAATATGTAGATGGAATTATACTATAACATCGCTTGTTCAACATGCCAATAACAATATCAGATCTTTGACTCAGGCCAAGATGACTTCTTCTTATTCTTCTTCTTCTTCTTCTTCTTCTTCAGCTGCTGCTGGTGCTGCTGCTGTTTCAAATAAGCTGAGAGAGGAAAAGAGGAGAAAAGCTGAGGAGAATATGAGGAAAGTCATAGATCTGAACTGTTGGGGTCCAACTACTGTTAGATTTTAATGTTATGATCATATATATAGAAAGTTTTGTTGGAGATCAAAAAGAGGGATGATATATATGGATAGATGCTAATGAGCCTTTTGCTTTTTCTTATTGCAAGATTTGGCTCTATGTAATTGATTGGGGATCAAGTCATGAAATATGAAATTTTCAATCTAGATTTTGGATTCCAATCATTTCCTTTTTTTTTTTTTTTCTGATTTTTCTAATCAATTGATTGGATTCTATACAAATTGAGAGCAACTCTCAAATTTCCAAAAATCAAATTCAAAGTCTCTCCTCAATACATCTTTCAACATGTTTGATTTGATTATATAGTTGTTGATACATTCATGATTTATAAAATGTGAATCTGTTATATCTATAAAAAAAAAGAAATTAAAGAAGGTGTGAATTTATATAGTTCCTGAGGATATATGCATAGTTAGAACCGAGGAACATAGAATTAAACAAATAGGTATTAAAATTGAGTCTGAAATTTCAAGATTCCAAATCCTTTTGTTTGTCATTAAGATAAGATTTTATTGGCAATTTTGAACAACTTCAATGCTTTACTTATTCTATTAATGTTAGCTTAAAATTTTGATTAAAGAGATGAAAATTTGAAATTAAAGCCAAAATAACAATCTGTGTAAAGTAAATTTCTAGAAATTTCACTTTGACATTTCCCTTTTAATTACTATCGAAAGATTCTTCAATCAAAGCGTATCGACAAATCCATCAAATGAGTTGGAAAGGCATTTTTTGGTATTTAAAATACTAGGGGTTTCTACTTTCGGCTATGCCTACAGTTTTTCATTTCTTTGCTTTAATCTAAATCAAGTGGCTACAAAACAGCAAGTGATATTATTTATCTATTTTTAATTAATTACATGGTTTTGATATTTATTCTTTATTAATTGCTTTATAATGTTATTTTCAATAAATAAAAAAGTATTTAATATTTAATTATTGAGATGTAAGGCATCCAGTGCGGGTCAATTTATTAATTATGGCGTGGGATTTATATCTTTTCCACACATTGATCAAGAATTATTATCAATATAAAAATGATGAAAAATCCAATTTCACCACGTATTGATTTAATAATATTTTTATAATAAGAGGTTGTCATCTAAAAAAATTATATATATTAAAATTCGAATTGTTCATTTTAAACTTGATTTTGTAACTTTAATTAAAAATATATGCTATCTTGATCTAAAAATTAAATAATTTATCTGTTCGGAATCTGGATTGCCCCAAGTAATCTAAAACGCGTTGAAAATCCAAAGCCAAAACAGTGAAAAGCAAGCACTTGGTTTTTTGCTTTTGTCTCCTAAAACCAGGGGCACTTTCCGTAGCTCCAAGTCCTGATATCTGGCTAAACCGCCTGTTGTTTTCCGAATCTTTCTTCACTATATAAAAAACAGACCAACCATTTCATTTCTCCAACTCAAAATCAACAATTCAACAGCAGTAACATCAACCTGCTAGGCTGCAAATCGATTCTATTTGCAAGAAATTCGACAATGAGTAGTGCAGCCGCGAGGAAAGCCTGGATTGTTGCAGCTACAATAGGTGCAGTGGAGACATTGAAAGACCAAGGCATATGCAGATGGAATTATACCATAAGGTTGCTTCATCAACATACCAAGAACAATATCAGATCATTTGTTCAGGCCAAGATGCTTTCTCCTTCTTCAGCTGCTGCTTCAAATAGATTGATGAAGAAATCTGAAGAGAAGATGAGAAAAGTCATGGAGTTGAGCTGTTTGGGTCCTAATACTATTAGATTTTAATGTTCATAAATGCTAAAATATTTTATTTTTTCCCACTCCAATTTTGTTATGGTTGAGGTAGGATTAAATGGCATGTTCTGAAATTTTTTGTTATGAGTAATGGCTGGTTCAAGATTTGGCCAGAAATGAAATCAAATTGAATATAATTTTGTTTGATAAACATGTTCTTTTCAGTCTCAAATTTTCTGGGTTTATTTTTTGTTCTTATTTTCATTTTTATCTTAGATTATAGAAAGAATAAGAAAAAGTTCATGGATAGACTCAAAATATGCTTGAAACAATATCTTTTTTTAAGTCAAAATTTCATTTTCAAAGAAATTTACTTGAAATTCGGATTCTAAAAAAATGCAGACAATGAGAAGAGCATCAAATTTATTAGAACTTCAGCTGCAATCATGTTAATCAGATTTAGAGAATAGGAAAGTCTTATGATACGTGGAATTTTTTTTTTTTAAAAAAAAGAGGGCATAACACTTAATAAGGAGAAGAAAATTCTGATTCGAAATCCAGATTTTTATGTCTCATAAAACCTAGACCAAGAGGTGGAGGATCAAATTCTTCTTTTAACTTATGATTATGAAAAGAATTCAGTTAAAAAAAATTTATTTACACCCATAAAATTTCTTTTTACATTCCATTATTAAATATTTTTTACTTCCCAAATAAAATATTCTATTATTTCTAAATACACCATCTAACAAAATTACATTTCATTTCATACTTTTCTAAATTTCTTTTCCATTCTCTTACTTTCAATGCAAATTCAATCTAAACTTAACTCTAAATTATCGAATCAATCTTTAGATTAAGTATTTTATTTATTGTAAATAAAATTTTGATATGTTTATTGATTAATTTGATTTAAATTAATGCAAAAATTATCTAAAGTTAAAAATTTTATTTAGACAAATTCAAAATTTTTAAAAATGAATTTCTTAAAAATTTTTAAAACTTTTGAAAATAAATTTCCAAAAAATCTTTAAAGCTTTCATAATTGAATTTTCTAGAACTTTAAAAACTTTCAAAAAACTTATTACTCTCGAAAATTTATATTTGAAACTTTTAAAATTTTTTAAAATTATTTTTGAGAATTTTAAAATAAAAAATTTTTAAATTAGAATGTAAAAAGATAAAATTATTATTTATTAAAAAATAAAATTAATATTTTATATATGAATATTTTTAATAAAAAAATATAAGGGATAAAAAAAATTTTGATAGTGTATTTAAAACTCATGTAACCAAAATTGACAAGAATGATCAATTATTCTCAGGTTTCACACACTTGTAAAGGTTTTACCAATCAAAATTTACAAAAGGAATAGTCTCGGTGAATCTATAATCCTCCTCTTTATCTGTCAAAATCTCTTAAACCTGGTGCTTCCATAAAACTACATACACTTGCCAAAGCAATTTAGTTGAGTCAGTGTCAAGTCAGTGTATCTTTCTTTTTCTATTGACACTTTTGTCTCTTTCAGATCATTGAAAAACAAAACCATGGGTCTCTTCCCCAAGCTGTTGATAAAACTGCCTATGGTTTTGCACTAATTTGTTTTCCACTAACCCACTATCTCTCAAACTTTCACTATAAAAGAACCTCCTCCTTCCTTTTATCACACTCAAAAACCCACAAATTCTCTCTAGTTTTTCAGTTCATCAAACCCCAAAATAATTATAAAAAAAAATGAGTTGTACAAGGAAATCAGCCTGGATGGTGGCAGCAAGCATTGGAGTGGTGGAGGCATTGAAAGATCAAGGGCTTTGCAGGTGGAACTATGCATTGAGATCAGTTCAACAACATGCCAGGGCTAATATCAGACAATATTCTCAGACTAAAAAGTTGGCTACCCAATCTTCTTCTGCTTTGTCAAAGAAATCGAGAGATGAGAAGTCGAAGCAATCTGAAGAGTCACTAAGAAAAGTTATGTATTTAAGCTGTTGGGGTCCATATTAAACTAAAACCCTTGTGTTATTTGTGCACATAATGTCAAATTTCATTAGAAACTTGGTTCAACTTCTTTTTTCTTTTCCCTTTCCAGGATTATTCAATGAAAATTTTGGTTAAAAATCAGAATTGAAGTGCCAATTTATGGTTTCAATCTCAGATATTGAAATCAGTTGAACATATAACCTGTACTTTGGGCTGGGAAAGTAGCCCAAGGAGCTGAAGCATATGATTTCTCATTTTTGCACTTTAATTTGGGCATGATTGAAAGGAAAATTTAATGGGTAAAAACAGTCTTTAATTTTGTAATGATGTTCATCATCTTTTGGTTATTGGAAGAGTTTTTTTTCTACATAGAAAAAAAAATTAGCAATTATGAAATGAAATGAAATGAAAGTCCTTTTTATCTTCCCTTGATTGACATAAAATTTGAAATGAAATACAAGGATTCAGGAGGAAATTTAAATATAGCAATAAAAAAAGAGTTCCCATAAAACAAAATATAAATAAATAAAGTAAATTCCATAAATAGGAATATTCTTCTTTATGGTGAATTTAATCCACAAAAAAAATTTAAAAAAGGGAAAATTAACCCATTTAAATCACAATCATGAATAGACTTTTTTTTTTCCATATATAAATTATTGAATCCAACAAAAAAAAAGGGAAAAAACAGTGCAAGTTGATAGATCCAAAGACAAAATTATTCTACCTTTTGCCCTCAACTTAGGGAATATAATTACTCATATTTGTCCATTTCTAAGCCCCATTTTTGCTTAATTTTATCTAATTATTTTCTTTTTTAAATTTATATTTTTTCCCAAAATCAGATGTCAAAAGAAATATTTTGGTTGCTGAAGAACGAATTAAGAATTATTATGTACTAAAATAATGTACAAAATTATGCCTTACAACTAAATCAATTCATTGGTCCAGTTATTTATCTTTAACTCAAAGACTGCTCAAGTTTTAAAATAATTTAAATAAGAAATTAAAAATTATGATTTAAGTATAATTTTTAAATTTAATTAAATTGAATTCGATTCAAATAAAATATATAATTAAAATATTATAATTATATAAATATATATTTAAATTTTTATTTTTATACTTTATTTAAAAAAGGGATTTTTTTCAAATCCACCAAATTAATCCTCATTTTTTTTTTTCACAAAAACTACTTCCTAGCTATTACTGTTTAATTTTTACAAGAAAATAAATAGAACCGGACAAGTGGAAACAATAGTCGTTGTCTGGTCCAAACCCTCTAACTATAAATATATAAGTACATTATAAGCCCATGCCGATATTCAAAACATTAAAACCCAAAAACAACCCAAACAGTCAATGCATTGAAGAAAACTACCCTGACCAAAAAAAATTTGTTTTTAGGTCCAATAATTTTTTTGTCTGAGATCTTTTTTATCCGATAATTACTTTAAATTTCGATTAACTCAAGTAATTATTTTGAATTTTAATTAATTAAAAATTAAATTAGATCAAATCTCATAAAAAATATAAATTTTTTTAAAGTTTATTTTTTGTTTGCACAAAAAATATCAAATATTAATATTTAAATTTTAAATTTATTAAATATTATTTTTAAAAAATAATTACATGAATTAATTAAATTAAAATTTAAAATTTAAATTTTAATTATTTAATATTAATATTTCTTTTTTTATTTAATAATATTTGAATAATCCAAAATTTCCTTCTCGCTAAATTAAAAAATAAACATCAAAACTGATATATAACAGAGAAAGCTTTTTTTTTTTTTTGCAATAATTGTGAATCATCACTTGCAGTACAGACATGGACCATTCCTTACATATGTTTGGTGACCGATCTATTAGCCAACAAAATGCCCTTCTCATGCAGGCTCAACCTACTCCTCCTGAATTAATATGGTTTTTTTGTAATTGTTATTGAATAAAAAGAAAATTTGGCAATATTTGCTAGGTTGGCATGATAATATTTGAATAGATGTTACAAAGGACAATATTCAAGTTCAGTCATTCTTGAATTCAAATTTTTTTTGAATTTTAAGATTTAAGCTTTCAAATTTTTTTAATTAAATTAAATTGTTCGAAAGTTCGAACTTATTTTGAAAAAGTTTTTTAATTATCTCTAAGATGAACCCTAATATATACGAGAATCGAATTCATTTATGTAAGGGCTATAGTCATTTAAAATATCCTTAAATGAATTAATCATATGTATAGAATTGTGTTCCATTGAAAATGGGGGGAGGGTTGGGGGGACAATGAATTTGTACAAATTTTTAATTAGGAAATGGAACCTTAAATGTCAGCAACATGGAAACATACCTAATTATTTATTGAATCTCGTTAAGTGAGGCATATAATTTGTTAAATTTACATATGAAATGTATGATAAAAGCTTGTATTAAAATAATCTAACAAACATGACCAATATAAGAAAAATAATAATAATTAGGAAGTAACAATTATATGATTATTAAAATAAATGTCCCATCTATAAATTATAAATATATTGATCGAGCTAATGCCAAAAAAAAAAGTCTGCTCATTAACTAATCCCATAAAAAAAAATTAAAAACTTTACATGCTTGATTGACTTTGTGTAGTGTACAAGTTTAGATGCAATATATATCGATCAAATTTTAAATGTTGATAAGATTTTTAAAGATTACATGTTGTAATGACTTAGATAAATTGTTAATTAAATATTAATTCAAATATCATGTATATTGGTTAAATTTTTAAATATTTGAGTTCAAAAAAATTAAGTAAATTATTAATTTAAAATTATGAATTTAAAAAAATTTAAACAAACTGATCTTTTATGTGATTAAATAAATAAAATTAAGGATTAAATGTGGCTTAAAATTTTTAAAAAATAATTTAGTAAAAAATTATAATACTATATCAATTTATTTAGAATTTAAAACCCAGCATGATTTCTTAAAAAAAAAAAAAAAACCAACATTATTAACGTCAAAAGCGAAATTTGTATTTATTGGCTATGTTTTTATTTTAAAATGTTGACATTATTAAAAAATAAATTATTTAATAGTTTATTTAAATATTTAATTCCTAACTGCCCAACTAACCCTCCAACAAACATACCAACCTTTATAAATGCACTTCTTTTCATTGTTTAATTTTCACCTAATTTTATTAATCCGTAATTAATGAACTTCAAAAAAATAGAAATAATTATAAATGCACTTCTTTTCATTTTTTAATTTCCACCTAATTTTATTAATCCGTAATTAATGAACTTCAAAAAAATAGAAATAATATTAATACGACGACATTACCATTCAGGAACTCTTTAGCGCATGTACCTTGAAGCTAAAAGTACCCTCAAAACTTTATTCCAATGACATGAATACCCCCGATGTACAGTAATGTCAGCTACGGATTCCAAATTGAAATTAACTATAATTAGAAAAAGATTTCAAATCCGACTCGC